TCCCAGTCGTAAATGAATACCTCTAGGGGCTGGCCCGAAATTGGGCGGAGGAGGTCAAGGAGGAGGCGCTAGAGAAGGAGCGGGAGGGCGGATTTCAGGGGCTAGGCAAGTCAGGAAGATGCGCGCGGAATGCGAACAGCAATAGCGAGAAAGAGAGGGTTGGGAGGGCAGGACAGATGCACACCATCCCCCCGAGGCAACCGCGGGCCCAGAAGACGTCCACTGGACTGGACTGGAGGCCCCCGAGGAGTTTCTCAAGGGGCCCCTGAAAGGCCAGCTCCAACGTACCAAAGATCTAATAGACCACTCAACAAAGTGCGCGCGAACACGAAGAGGTGTATGCTAGCCCAAGCTGTCTTCAAGATCGCTCCGCTCTGACCCCGACGTTTTAAGTAGGTCCCAAGACAGCCTAAACGCGTCCCAAGACGGCCCAAGACCGACGTCCTCTAATGTTTCTCCTCCTCCACCTTCCCCCCTCCTTGCATCCCTCCTCCTAGCCGCGTTCTCTGCGCTATCGTTGATGCGTTTCTGGATTGCGAAGTTCCCCCGGGGCGCCGCTCCAGGGAAAAGGAAGTCGAAGCCGCTGAACTCGCGGGACACGTTCAGCTTCAGAGTGTGTGCGAAATCCTCCAACACATTCTTGCAGTCAGCAATGCCCCGCTCAGTCCCGAAGTCGGAGGTCACGCTGCGAACGTCTTCGAGAAGCAATTCAAGATGCTGGAGCCCTGGGCCAGTGATGACCCACAGTGACCACAACATCGCCATGACTTTGTCGATGCAGTCCATGTGACCGTGCCCAAGTGTGGATCCTGGGCAAATATATTCTCTAACTTGCCCATCCATAACATAATCGAACAATATGGCGAATATCTCAATCCCAGTCGTGGGCGACGAATCCATGTACAAATGAATCGACCGCCGCCTGCAAGCATTGGGCCCAACCCTGCGAAAAATACGGCGACTGATCAGCATGCACGCTATATCAAACCGTGGCCTCGCTCTAGCCAGTTGGCTCCGTTCTGGAATTCGGTAACCCTCCTCAGCGAGGGCATCGATGACAGCTTGGCCCGACTCGGGCCACAATGCAGCGATGTATGCTTTTGCGCACCTCTCATTGTCTTTCAAATCCTTGAGCATCGACGACGCATCAACAAACCTAATGATCTTCATTGGGTCCACGATGTGAAGTTGATTCTGAGACATCCGTTCAGGGATCATCGCGCGGTCCAAGAGCACGTCACCCTCTCGGCCAGGCGGATTCTGCCTAACATATCTCCGAAGAATGCGGCTCGAGGGTTTCGACAAGAATGGAAATACAGCAGGGGGGTTCCGAGCCGAAAGTCTCGTCCAATACGCGACATCCACAGGGCCCGCGGTGAGGAGAAACGCAGTCGCAGCAGGCGCGAAGTACACGTCTGAAATCACATTGTTGGCTTCCCTGCACCATTGCTGCAGTTGTTGGTCATCTCTAGAGGCCCGCTGGTATGCTCGTAAAATGTCAAGCGAAGATCGAGAGCAATCAATCGGCATGGGGTCACACCGAACATGCTTGAGGCGAGCGTACTGGAGATGCACGGCAGGCGACCCAAACCGTCGCTGCGTGGACTGCATCAGCCCACCAGTCCCTTGATACATAGCATCCCACGGCCGAAGCGTCCAATGCGTCTCAAAAGCGCCCACCAACGCAGGGCTATCCAATCGAAGCAAGGCTACGCCGCTCTCCTGGAGGATCTTTAATATTGCCTCGTTCGTCGCAGCTGGTAGCCGCCTGTCGGGATCAGCAATGACTGCGCAACAAAAACGTTTCCCATCTTCTGGAACTCCGACGCGGCGCCGCCTCCGAGGTCGTTTGGCGGGGGCGGGCCCCTCCAGCAACGAAACAGACGATCCAGATCCATCACTCTGAGCGGCCTCAAGAATCTCACAATCGCTGCAGCTGGACATGGAGCCTGACAAGCTCGAGCCTTTGAGCCAAAACAGAAATGGTAACGGAACCTGGGATCCTGATTATGAAATAGACGGTTGACCAGGTGATTTAGTTTCAATTGGTATTCTCATTCATGTGGGTTGGTATAATGTAGGCTAGTCGTGTGTATCGCACCGCGCGGCCATTGTGAACATTGGTGCGCAAGGTCATCTAACTTAGATGGTTGATGTGACGGCGGCCCCGCCTAACAATGTCTGCACGCCATCATTTGGAGAGACGCATCGATGCTGTGTGTTGTCACAGTCTGTTTGTGCACACACCGCGGCTTGCACATCACATCACGATCGTTTACGTACTTGCGCCAGCCGCAAATGAGACCACTACGCGCGCGAGCCAGTGAGGGGCCGCTAAACATGAGACAAGACTGCCCGATATGACTTAGACGAGGTGGTCCAGAGGTTTTGTGCGCAGACGGTGGGATCCTCGAGGTTAGCCAAGACAGCTCCACAACGATTGACTTTGGCTCCACAATGGCTCAAGATGGACTCGGCTTGTGTTACGCAGTCTCGTTTGAAAAAGTTTATTGTTTAGGAGACGTATGTTCTGTATGTTAAGACGTTCGTTGAGGCTGAAAGCCGCGATCCATGCGAGGGGCACATCCGACTTTGATTTTCGGCGCCGCGTCGCCATTTTGGAATTTCCACAAAGCCTCTTACGGGGGCCCGCTAGGCACTCCCGAGCGGCTCTACAGGACACCGAGCCCCTCCCCAACGAAAAGGGTTCCTTCTTCAGCGCCCCGACTGTACTCTGGGAGCGGTCTCGGAGGCCCTGGTCCCGCCGTGCCCCCTCCAGGTCGCGGCCCCGGGCGCCCGGGCCTCGGGCCCGGGTGGATACTGGAACCACCGCGCGCGCTTCGCGCGCGCTTGGGTTCCAGCTGGTCGAGGGCTGACCGCCTTGAGACAGCAAGGCGGTCATGAATAATGAAGTCAACATTCTCTGCTTCCTCCTGCATCTACCTCGTGCCTCCTTCTCCGCTTTCATCGACCGGTCGACCGGTGATCTGTCGCCAAGCTTCTTGGGGACCTCTGGACCCCTCCTGGGTGTCTCCTGGGGCGAAGATCTCGGGTTCTCGGTTCACGTTCCCGATAATGGCCTTCGGCCCATCCCGACACCATGGCTGGGTTGTGGGTTAGAGGCCTCTTGGAAGTTCGTTTGGGACTCGTGGGAGACTTCCCGGCGGCCCCTTGAAGGCAGTTTTGGAAGCCTCTTGGGGGCTGTTTGGGGTGCTCGTGGGGCGTTTTTGGGGGCCCTCTTGAGGCCTCGTGTGGCCTCTAGGAGGCCTCTTGGGCTCTGTTGGGGGTCTCTTGGGGCATCCTTGAGGCCTCTTGGGGCGGAGGGCTCGAATTGTCGATTCGTGTTCCCCCTCTTGGGCCCCTCTTGGGGCCGTCTTGGGGCCCTCTTGGGCGATCTTATGCGCCTCTTGGGCCGTCTTGGGACTCTCTTGCGCTGTCGTGGCGCCCTCTTTGGGTGCCTCTTGGGCCGTCTTGAGGTGATTTCTGGGGCCTCGTGGGCAGTCTTGGACTGTCGGAAGCACGAAACAGCGAGAGCACGAAAAACCTTCAAGAACCATCGGATAACCTGCTTATTTCGCCTCCTGGGTGCCTCGTGGGAGCTCTTTTGAGGACATCTTGGCTTCTGGAGGCGCTTTTGGCAGTCCTCTTGGGGGACTCTCGGGCCGTCGTGGGGGCTCCTGGAGGCCGTCTTGGAGCACCTTCGGCGTCTTGGAGCGACGATTCGGAGAAATTATGAGCTCTCTTGGAGGTTTGGAGGCATGCGGACGGTAGCACTGGGACATTCGGCGGGGCTCCCGCCACGAGACGCTGTGCCGAGCGTGCGGGACGCATGCGGACGGTAGCACTGGGACCTTCGGTGGGGCTCCCTGTGGGGCCACGAAACGCTGTACTGGGTGGGTGAAACGCAGGGAGGAGGGAGGAGGGGGCCACGAAACACTGTACTGAGTGTGCGGGACGCATGCGGACGGTAGCACCGGGACATCCGGTGGGGTTCCCTATGTGGTCACGAAGCTCTGTACTCGGTGGGCGAAGCGCAGGGAGGAGGGATATGAGGGGGCCACGAAACGCTGTACTGGGAGTGCGGGTCGCATGCGGACGGTAGCACTGGGACCTTCGGTGGGGCTCCCTACGGGGCCACGAAACGCTGTATTGGGTGGGTGAAACGGAGGGAGGAGGGAGGAGGGGGAGGCGGGGGAGGAGGAGGGGGAGGAGAAAGGAGAAAAACGCGGGGACGGTTTGTTCAAAACGAAGACCCAACACCACAAAATGGTTGGGAACAATTGCAAGAGCTTCACGGATTGAGGGCGGTCCCTTTCCAAAATGTGGACCCCGCCCGCCTTAGCGCCACGCGCATTTGTGTTTAAACTGTGCACGTTTTCCACGGGGTCCTATGATCAGCGTGCCAAAAATAGTGTTTTGGACGGATTCGGGATTATAAGAGTGCAACAAATACGTTGCTTCGTGGTGCTGAAGTCCCGGGAATGGCGTTTTGGCGTGGCTTAGGATCGTCAAAACGCAACCGTCAGGTTGATCCGTGGCGTTGGAGTCCCGAGAACAATGTTTTGGCATGCTTCAGGGTCTTCAAACGGGTGTCTTCCAACGAGGCCCCTCAGTGGGAATGAACCGTCGTAGGGGCCTACGAAAACGGAGCTTGGAGTTGGCAAAACCTGGGGCCGCTCGGAGGCCAAATGACTACAACTATCCCCTTCTGCTGGTGATGGGTCTGCTCTTGCTGCTAACAGTCGCCTCACAAATACTGTGCTCCGATCGAGTGCCAACGCCTCTGCGTCTAAACATGGAATTGGAGACGACCTACAAGACCCGGCCATTGCCAGAAGTCGGAACATCCATGTAGATCCGTCGTGTGCGCCCAGTTCTACCACCCACCCAGTGACTGAGCACGCCCCCGCTCTCGTGCCATCGTCTGAACGCACCGCAATATGCATCGCTCCAGAGATAAATCGTCGACGGCGAAATCAAAATGATTGGACCATGACAATTCAAAGTCCATCGTGTAGTTGACAAGCCACATGTGCCACCCCCAAATCTCGGTGCTGATGAGGGGGCGCCCAATCGCGTTCCAATATGGACAACAAGTGCAACTGAAGATCGGTTCGGCCGACGGGTCGCGCGCCAACGGCACAGTACCCATTGAAATTCTCTGCACAAGCTGGCAGCCAGCGGCGAACAAGCAGCGTCGCCCCTGACCCTCGCAGTCCGCTCCAGTCCAGCTCCTCGCAGTCGCCGCAGGCGTTGTGGTGGGCTGGGCGCTCGAGGATGTCGCGTTGCCGAGATCTCTTGCGAGGAGGCTCTCCGTTTCCTGGCTCCTGCGCGTGCTCCGCCACTGCCGCTGAAGCGGAAATGAGCGGCATTCCCAACCGCTCGCACACTGCGTTCGTGAAAGCCGTGATACTCCTTGTCCATTCATTGAAATTGCTGCGGAAGTTCCTCCACGGAGGCCCCCCACACACACTGCAGAACACGTTTTCCCATGCTGCCTCCTCCTCCTCCTTCTCCTCCTTCTCCTCCTCCTCCCTACGCCTCCACCCCCTCCTCTCCCCTCCTTTACCCCCTCCTCTCTTCTCCTCCACCCCCTCCTCCTCCTCCTCCTTCCTCCTCCTCCTCCTCCTCCCTTCCTTCTCCTTATAACTTATCCTTGTCGCACCCCCGAAGCCGGTCGAAAGGGCGGGCCGGGCGTTTTGCTTAAGGCTTCCTCACCGCTCGTCACCCTGAAGCTTAACAGTTGACAACAGCTTCACGGATGGAGAGCGGATCGATTTCAAAATGTGGTTCTCGCGTTAGCGCCGCGCACACTTGTTTTAAACGCTTGCAAGGGCTTCACATATTCATGGCGGGTCGTGTTCAAAACGTGGCTCTCGCCTCAGCGCCGCGCACACTCGTTTCAAAACATGGCAGGCTTTTCACAGATTGAGCGCGGGTTGTTTTCAAAATGTGGCTCTCGCCCTAGCGCCGCGCACACTAGTTTTGAAAAACATGCAAGAGCTTCACGGATTGAGGGCGAGTCGTTTGCAAAGTGTGGCTCTCGTTTCAGCGTCGCGCATATTCCTTCTGGAAAATTGCAAGAGTGTTACGAACTGAGGGCGGTTCCTTTTCAAAGTGTGGCTCTCGCCTTAGCGCCACGCACATTCGTGTGAAAACTTTGCAGGAGTTTCACGGAGTCCCCTGGTTAACCCACCACACACTGTGTTTTGGAACGACTCAGACTGCCAGGGCGCAACAATCACGCTGATCCGCCATGTTGAAGTCCCAGGAATGGTTTTCTGGCACGGTTCAGGATCGTCCAGAAGCAACAGTCAATACCATTCGTGGTGTTGGCGTGCCGAGGATTTTGTTTTGGCGCGCTTCAGGATCCTCAAAAGTTTGCCGCCCAACTGGGCACTCCCTTCAATGGACATGAATCTCTGTAGGGGCACACGAAGAAGGAACTTGGGGGAGGGTTTATTTCAACATCGCTGATGTAGGTTTACGCTAGTCATCCTCCTACTCTTCCTCCTCCTGACGCCTCCCCCCCTTCCCGTATCCTCTTCCAACTCCTCTCTGCACTTGCAAATTGCAAATACGACTCTCTTCTCTCCCCTGATTCTGCCCGGATGATATTGTCGGCCATCTTCGCGTACGGTCTTTGACACACACCCGCACATAAGGTTTCAATCAGATTGGTGTTTCGTATGGCTGGCTTCGCCATGCTAGTGTGTTCAGTATTTCAAAATGGTAACCCCCCAGAGTATCGTAGGCCTCGTTTTCTGCGCGCTGTGCTCCCGTCGTTCAGAACGGTGCTCTCGCCCCAGCGTAGGCCACGTACATGGAACCGAATTCCTTTCTCATCGCTGTTACCACCCTCCTTTCCCCTCCGCCACCTCGAACTGGTCCTCCTGCTACCCCCCCCCTCTTCCACTCCAGCTGCTGCTGCTGCTGCTGCTGTGTCCTCGTCCCCTCCCTCCTTCCTCACCGTCCTCCGGTCCCTCCTGCTCATCCGCCGTTTCCTCTCCCTACAGTGTGCGCAGCTCGTTTCCTTTCCGGAGGCGCAGAGCACGGCGGGGTCCTCGTCACGCGCGTCGGCGGGGCGGAGGAACGCAGCGCAACGGGATCATCACCACCACAGCCATCATCATCCCCCTCATCCTCATCCTAATCCTCATCATGCTCAGAATTAGAATCGACATCCTCATCATCAGCATCAGAAGCATCAGAAGCATCAGCACCAGCACCAGCACCAGCACCATCACCATCATCAGCATCATCATCACCCTCATCATCATCACCCTCATCATCATCATCATCATCATCATCATCATCATCATCATCATCATCATCATCATCATCATCAGGAGCATCATCAGCGGCATCATAATCATCATCAGCAGCATCATCATCAGTGTCATCATGATCATACTCCTAATCCGCCTCCTCCTCCTCTTCATCCTCATCGTAGTCGCCATCGCCATCGTCATCAGCACCAGCAGCAACATCAAAGTCAGCATCATCAGCATCAGCATCAGCATCATCAACAACATCATAGCATCAACAACAGCATAGCATCATCAACAACATCATCCGCAGCATCATCATTCATCATCATCATCATAATCATCATCATCATCATCATCATCATCATCATCATCATCATCATCATCATCATCATCAGCATCCTCATCAGCATCATCACCAGCATCATCATCAGCAGCAGCATCATCAGCATCATCAGCATCAACATCAACATCATCAGCATCAACATCATAGTCGGCATCGTCATCCTCATCCTCATCATCATCAACATCATCATCATCATCATCAGTATCAATATCATCATCGACAACAACAGCAACCGCAACATCGGCAGCAGCATCAACATCGTCATCAGCATCGTCATCACGAATAATTATCGGCATCCTCATCCTCCTCATCATCGTTATCATCCTCATCATCACTTCATCATCATGATCCTCATCCTCAGCATCATCGTCGTCATCGACATCGCCATCGCTATCGCCATCAGCATCAGCATCAGCATCAGCCTCATCATCATCCTCATCCTTTCCCCCATCCCCCCCCCTCCCCCCAGCGAGCCGTAGAGGAGTGCTTTTCCTTCCCGCCAGCAGTTCAAGAACATCACCGGCCTGCCGACGTGGGGCTGGACGTGCGATATGAGCCTCCCCGGGGGGGGGGGGGGGGCAAAGCGGCAAATCTCGCGGGTACAACCGCATGGAGAGCAAGCAGCGGGGGTAGAAGGGATCAGGCAGTGCATTGCGCACTAGTCAGCGTTGGTTGGTCGCTGCTCTGTACACGCACTTCACTCGTCCCACAGGAGGGAGTGGGGAGGCGAGCGAGCGAGCGATGTCGGTCCAGCGGGACCGGCCCTATGAGGGCAGCGCGGGGGGGCCGGGGCCCCTCAGAAGACGAGTCGAAGCTGGAGTCGGAGAGATGGACGCTGGAGTCGGAAAGTTGGGAGCCGGAGTCGGAGAGAAGGGCGCCGGAGTCCGAAACTTGGGAGCCGGCGTCGGAGAGATGGGTGCCGGAGTCGGGGGGGGGGGGGAAGAGGGGGTACACAGCCAGGAGGAGGAGGAGGAGGAGGAGAGGGAGCAGGAGGAGGAGCAGGAGGAGGAGGAGGAGGAGGAGGGGGAGGAGGAGGAGGAGGAGGAGGAGGAGGAGGAGGAGGAGGAGGAGGAGGAGGAGGAACAGCACCAAGCACACTTCCACCACCTCCACGAGGGTGCCAAGCCTGGCCACCACGGGCCTGCCATATATAGGAGGCAAGGATCTGCGAGAGGAGGAAGGACCCCGGCTCGCCATCGCTCGGACGTCCACTCCCTGTGCTTCTTTCGGTGTCGTGCGTGGCTTCTTCGCCAAATGATCAAGGATGCTCCTCGATGGTCCTCGCCGAAGGAAGAAATGCACACGTCCGAGCGATGCCAAGCCGGGGGGGAAGGGCTCCAGGTTCCGGGCGGCTCTGGGGGGCGCTCGGGGCTCCTGCGGCCCAAGCCTTACCAGGAGGAGCCCTGTGGAGAAGCGACGAAGCCCCGTCGTGGGGAGGGGCTTTTTTGATTGCGCCACGATGCACGAGGAGCGCCGAGGGAAGGCCCGCGGAAGAACCCAAGGGACACGGAACCCCACTTCGACACCGAGGGGGACCCTATCCCACGGCTTGACCGTGTAGCGGGGTCGGCAGAGTTCGCAAGTGCAGGCCCGTGGGGGGGGGAGGTGCATGGAAATGGGGCATGGATGGAAGTGACGACATTTGGACATCAGGAGCATCAAGACGTCTAGGACGTGGACGAAGACGAAGAAGAAAGATACGATGAGGACACAGAGGAGGGCGGCGGCGCGGGGAGCTAGAGGGGCGAGGGGGGAGGGGGGAGGGGAGGAGAGAGGGAGGTCTCGGAGAAATGGGGACGAGGAGTCACGGATGGGGAGGGAGCTAGGAGAAAAGGAGGCGTGAGGCGGGAAGGGGCGATGATTGGGGAAAGGGGATCAGGAGGGAGGAGAAAGAAGAGAGGAGGGAGAGGGAATGGATGAGGGAGGAGGCGAAGGGAGCAGGGGTCAACGGGGGCTAGGGGGTGCTGGCGACGGGGCTGCAGGAGTGGGCGGGAGGAGAAGCAGAGGCGGCACGCTCAGCACGCTGCTTCTCGCCGCCGGAGTGTGAGGCCGCAGGACACGACGGAGAGACAGGGCGCCGCCAACGGTCCGACAACCACGATCGACCCTGGCAAGGCCCACCCTGTGGGCCCAAGACTGGTGGGTGCGCCGTCCTGGCCGGGCAGAGAAATTGGAGCGATGCGCCGAGCCCGAATGAAGGGGCCCCAGGACACACAAATAAATACACACAAATTACCCTGGCGACGTACCCAACCCCTGCGCAAACGCAGGGCGCAAATAGTTTAGGACACTTTATAAGGAGGGCGATGACGGAGCGAGGGCTACATATGTCTGCAGACGGAATTCGGGAGATTCGCAGGACACTGGCTACAGGACAAGGACTAGATAAAGCTGATTAGTTACAATCCCTGAGCAACCCTAGCCACTTCGAAAGCGGGGATCTCAGATCGCAGCCCCCCAGGGATGGCGAGGTCTAATTTGGGTCCGCGCGTGGCGTCACTGTGCTGGGCCCCCCAGCAGGCCTCGAAAGTGGCGACAGTTTCACAGATCGCAGCCCCCCAGGGATGGCGAGGTCTAATTTGAGTCCGCGCGTGGCGTCACTGTGCTGGGCCCCCAGCAGGCCTCGAAAGTGGCGACAGTTTCACAGATCGCAGCCCCCCAGGGATGGCGAGGTCTAATTTTGGTCCGCGCGTGGCGTCACTGTGCTGGGCCCCCCAGCAGGCCTCGAAAGTGGCGACAGTTTCACAGATCGCAGCCCCCCCAGGGATGGCGAGGTCTAATTTGAGTCTGCCCGTGGCGTCACTGTGCTGGGCCCCCCAGCAGGCCTCGAAAGTGGCGACAGTTTCACAGATCGCAGCCCCCCAGGGATGGCGAGGTCTAATTTGAGTCTGCGCGTGGCGTCACTGTGCTGGGCCCCCCAGCAGGCCTCGAAAGTGGCGACAGTTTCACAGATCGCAGCCCCCCAGGGATGGCGAGGTCTAATTTGAGTCTGCCCGTGGCGTCACTGTGCTGGGCCCCCCAGCAGGCCTCGAAAGTGGCGACAGTTTCACAGATCGCAGCCCCCCAGGGATGGCGAGGTCTAATTTGAGTCTGCCCGTGGCGTCACTGTGCTGGGCCCCCCAGCAGGCCTCGAAAGTGGCGACAGTTTCACAGATCGCAGCCCCCCAGGATGGCGAGGTCTAATTTGAATCTGCCGTGGCGTCACTGTGCTGGGCCCCCCAGCAGGCCTCGAAAGTGGCGACAGTTTCACAGATCGCAGCCCCCCAGGGATGGCGAGGTCTAATTTGAGTCTGCCCGTGGCGTCACTGTGCTGGGCCCCCCAGCAGGCCTCGAAAGTGGCGACAGTTTCACAGATCGCAGCCCCCCAGGGATGGCGAGGTCTAATTTGAGTCTGCCCGTGGCGTCACTGTGCTGGGCCCCCCAGCAGGCCTCGAAAGTGGCGACAGTTTCACAGATCGCAGCCCCCCAGGGATGGCGAGGTCTAATTTGAGTCTGCCCGTGGCGTCACTGTGCTGGGCCCCCCAGCAGGCCTCGAAAGTGGCGACAGTTTCACAGATCGCAGCCCCCCCGCAGGCAAGACAGGAGGAGGCAAGAGGGAGGCGGGACGGGAAGAAGGGAGTGGAGACCACACTGCTCTATTCAAAGCGAATACCCAACCAAGGAGGGTTGGGAATCAGAATACTCCCCATATTTCCCTATAGTTTCTGGGCTTTTGTCTTCCCCCCCACTTCCCATATTTTCCAGTATTTTCTGGGGAATCGCCGATAAACTGTGTGTGTGTGTTCCTTTCCCTCCTGAATCCTGGCCAGGCAGAGAAATTGCAGCGACGCGCCGAGCCTGAACACGGGACTCGCCCGGCCAGGATCGGTGTCCAAGGGAGCGTCCCCCGAGGAGGGGCGGCCTATCTGGGAAGAACACGGCGTCGGGATCCACCTTAGCGGTGAAGTCGTGGTTCAGGATCCTCCCCTGCGAATCCGAGAGCAGGATGTCCATGGCCTTCCGGGTTGGCAACCGGAATGCGGAGGAGGAGAAGCAAGACGACAACGACAACGCCGTGACGGAGGAAGACGAGGGAGAAGGGACAGCCCGACAGCTGAAGTTCCACGGCCGTCGGGGTTGGCGCTGGCTGTGCAGAGGAGGGGAGGCGAGGTCGCAGGGGCATGCTGCGCAGACTGGGGACAAGGAGCGAAGGGGTCTGAAGAGGAACAACGGCGGGGTGGGAAGATCTCTCGCAGTGCACCACCAGACCGCCCGTCGGCCAGTGAAGAAGGATAGGGGGCCGCACGCGAACCCTACCCCTACCCCCCACAATTTCTGAGGGGGAGGGTGGGGTTCACTTCGTTCGGGAGCTCCCGAGCGAAGTGAACCCCACCCTCCCTCTCGAAAATCGTGGGGGGTAGGGGTAGGGTTCGCGTGTGGCCCCCTAGAAGGAGGCTATGTGCGCTGCGGGGGACCAGCACAGCAGGTACTGTCGGACGCCGGAAGTTGGCGGGGAGGTCCTGTCCGGCAGTCGGCCCTGCCCGGTGCCACCACCCGGCCATTGAGGGAGGAAGGTCAAGCTATGGGACGTGGATTGGCTGGCTGGCCTGGGAAGAGGCAGAAGGCGACCCAAAAGATCATCCATGAGGATAATGCCAAAACGGCCACAGAGGGGCCCCGAAGGACTCCAGAGGGTCCCCCGAGAGGCCTCCGAGACGATCAGAAGGGCCCCCAAAGAACTTCAAGAAGGCATTCGAAGGCCCATCACAGGTTCTAAGGTTCCGAGACTGCCCAACACAGACCTCAGGATCTGAAGAACCGCACGAGAGGCCCCAAGGGAGGCCACCTCAGAGGCTGTAAGAAGGCCCAACTGGCAGCAAGCGGCAGCACACCGCGGCCAACAACCACAGCCAGCAAGACGCAGCACCAAGCAGGGCCAAGAGTGTTCGGCCACGAGCATACCGAGGTCATACCCCCGAGCGCGAACCGATTCGTAGCCTCTCGTGCTCGCTTCCCCCTGGGTTCCCCGCCCGTTCTCGGGAGCGGCCAAGAGGGGGGTGTCCAAGAGGGGGGGTGCAAACCATGGCCGGCGGCATGTGCGCGGCCCAGCGGGGGGGCCAGGGACGTAATGAAATAAGAAGAGGCGCCATGAAATCTGGGGAGATATCATGGCCCCCGCCATGGTATCCACCCTCCTAGTCATCCCCCCCCTCTTTTACGCCCCCGACGTTCAGCGGGGCCGCTGTGGGGGCCGGGCGGAGAGCAGGGCGGCCCTGGCCGCGCGGAGCTCTGTCGAGCCCGCGTGCGCACTGCGCGCCGGGAGGGTCGTCGCTGTGCGTGCGCACCCCGCGCCGGGATTGGCCTCTCACGCTCCGCAGGCCCGCACGAAGCATTGGGAGGGAGGAGGGAGGAGGGAGGAGGGAGGAGGAGGAGCATTGGGAGGGAGGAGGGAGGAGGAGGAGGAGGAGAGGAGGAGGAGGGAGGAGGAGGAGGAGGGAGGAGGAGGAGGAGGAGGAGAGGAGGAGGAGGAGGAGGGAGGAGGAGGAGGAGAGGAGGGAGGAGGGAGGAGGAGGAGGAGGAGGAGGAGGAGGAGAAGGAGGAGGAGGAGGAGCAAGATTATCATGGGTGCCTCTGCTCGGCATGGGACCTCCCGATGCCGCCAGCTGCCCCCTCAAGACAGATGCGCGGAGCCTCGATTCAGCATGTCCCGCGAGCATCTCAAGAGACGCACAACTAGCCCTCCAGACAGCTCAAAGGATCTTCAACTGGACACACATCTTTCACGCACTCCGTGCCCCATGGACACACATTGGCCGTCGCCTGGCCCCTGAAGATGACCCAGTACCAACAATTCGGCACCCCTCTTACGGATGTCGTGTTCCATGGACCCCAGGAAACTTCCAGCTGGCCCCAAGACTCAATAGAGGCCCCAAAACGCAAAAAATGCCACAGGAGGCTCCAAGACTAGCCCCACGAAACGAAGGGTCTTCGAGAAGCTTACACTGCAACGACTGCCATGATCGGCGCCAGCCCTGCATCCCGCATGCGAAGGCGGGGGCCGAAGCGAGGCCACGCCTGCATCGTCTTGAGCGGGCTAGGGGTTCTCGCGTTTTCCCTGCTTCACCGCGCCCCTCGCCATCGCTCGGACGTCCATTCCCTGTGCTTTTTTCGGTTTCGTGCGTGGCTTTTTCCGCTAAAGGATCGAGGATGCTCCTCGATGGCCCTCGCCGAAGGAACAAGTGCACACGCCCGAGCGATGCCGAGGCTCTTGCACTCCTCTCCCAGGGGGTCCCCCCCAGGGAGAGCTCCGCCGCGGCTCGGCGAGCACCAAAGCCCCGTGGCCTGGCCAGGCTTCGGCCCGTCGCCCGGCCGCACGGGCGCTCCCCAGAGGCAGGGGGCGGGGCGGCGGCGGCTCCCGTTACTGCAGGGGCCCATGGACGCACAAACAAAGACACACAAACAAACAGATTCCCCAGATCTTCCCATATGTCTTCTGGGCTTCTGTCTTCCCCCCCCCCCACTTCCCCTATCTTCCCATTTTTTCTGGGAGATCGACGATGCATTGTGTCTGTTTTGTTTGTCCCCTCCTGAGTTGCCCAGGAGGCCTGGCCAGAGAGCGCCCTGCCTCGCGCCGCCCCCGGGGGTGGGGGAGGCGGCGCACACGCGCGGCACGAGCACGGTCAGGTGTGCTGCCGCCCCCACCCCTTTAGACACCCGGGATGGGCACGGAAAGAATGGGTACAATGCCCAGCAGCAAGTGTTGTCCCAAACCGACAGCGGCCGCTGTTGGGCAGGCGGCCTTCTGTCTCGAACGGACACCGGCCGCGGCGGCGTGGACGGCGAGTCCTGTTCGAACTGAACAGGAACTGCTGTTGGGCATGGTACCCATTCTTTCCGTACCCATCTCCTTCGTGTAGAACCCCCCCTCGAGCAGGGACCGGCCGCCTCCCGGCGCTCGGCACTCCCAGAGGCCCACCACGACGTGATCTGAGAGCAAGTGAGTGCTCTCAAGGGGGGAATGCCTTTCTTGCTGGGAGCATCGCCGGTTTGTGTAGATAACGCTGTCCCGGCCAGAAAGATTCCATTCGCACGTCCGTGCATACCACGAGAGTTTCTTAAAGCATCATGTGGTGGCCTCTGGGCGAGTCAGGATGTGTCGCCACTGCTTGACCCCTCCTCGCCCCCTGCGAGCCTCACCAACCAGCGCTGCGCGGTTGGCGCCGTGGGCGCGGCTCAGGACGCCGCCGAGCAGCGCAGGAGTCGGCGACTCCGAGGGGTCCGGTTTGCGAAGGGTGTGGTTTGCAACGCGCCCCTCGGGGGGAGGGGTCGAGCGAATGCATCGACAGAGATCTCTGCCGCCCCCCAAACGAGGGCTCGTCAAACCTTCGCGCAACACTCTGCCCCCCAAAACCCCAACGGCGCCGATCGCAAACCACACCACGGAGAAACCACACCCATGTAGTCGCCGGAGGATCGGGGATGGACAGAACCCCCTTTAGTAAAACGTGGTTTAGTGAAGACGACCTCGGGCCCTAACCTGGCGGGCGCAAGCCTGGAAAATGATGGCCGCGGCGCCCTCTTGAGAACGGAAAACGGACAATTCACTAATCGACGTCCACTCCCGAGAGGAGGCATCGCGCGCGATGTGCCCTCGGCAGCAGGGGCTGCCAGAGGGACGGGAGGGAGAGACGGAGCTGGCAGAGGCACGGGGGACCTCCTGGCAGTGCAGGAGGCGCCGCGCGCGACGTGCCGGCAGCAGCAGGGCTACTGGAGGGATGGAGTTAGGGGAACGAAGACCGACATAAACAAAAAAACTCTGAGGTCCGCACGGATTTCTCGTATCTGCGCTGGACCCCCCTCCCTGGCGCGCGGAGCGCGCCAGGGGCGCGCCGGAAGCACCGCCAGGGGGTCCAGCGCCGATCCGAGAAACCCGCGCGGACCTCCGAGTTGTTATGTTTATGTCAGTCTTCGTTCCCCTAGGGGATGGGGCGGGGGGGGGCGGCAGAGAAGGGAGGCTTGGCTTGGCTTGGGTTGGCGTTGAAGGCAAGTAAGGGGGCTTGCTCGAAGCCCTCGAAGTCAGACTCCCCTCCAAACTCAGAGTCCGACCCACCAGAGGTTCTCTGGATCGCTTGCCGACCCAGCCCCTGCAAGCGTGGGCGATCGTCGGCCGTCAGGCTGAACGCTCGGAGCAAGATTTCCCGAACAAAAATCCCAAGCACGCGGGCGGCCTGGATGAAGATCGCCGTGTTCAGCCACGAGTTGGTCGTGGCGCCCTGGCTCAGGTCGCCCATGCCAACCTCGCGTGCGAGAGGGCTCGAGGGTGGGAACATTTCTGACGGCCTGGCCAGGGCAGGGTCGGGGAAGGGGAGGAGACATGCGCAAAGTGAGCGCTCCCCCTCCTCCTGCTCGCCTTCCCCCTGCTCCCGCCTCCTCTCCTCGCTCGCCCTCTCCCCACCTTCCCCTTGTCTATTCCCATTCTCCCTCCTCCCGCCTCCTCCCCCTCCTCCTGCTCCTCCTCGTTCTCCTCCTGCTTCGTCCTCACCCAAGCTCTTTCTGGCTCGAGGGGAGCTTCTCCCCAGGACCAGGGTTCCTGGTGCTGTGCCAACTTGTGCCAGTTTGAGCGCCCTGGTTCAGTGTGAAGTGAAAGCTAGGATTCAACATCTTTTTTCGGCACGGCGCTGCCATTGTGCCTGCGCTGTCGTAGCATGCTGGTGTTGATGGGGCCCTCCTCTTCGGCTCAGATCGGCGCAGAAAACACAACTTGCAAGGCTCCACAGCGAGCGCGCCTGCACCGACACAGCAGCAGCGCCCGCTGTGCCCCCAGGCAACGGCGGCGGGCGGATCCCCTGCCGCACATGCGTCTACCGCCCCCGAGGTGTCCGTGGGGATGGGGACAGGGAGTGCTGGCAATGGTGCTGGGGCTATCGGCGTCGCTGGCGGGAGCGCTGCCCCTGCCGCTCACGCCCAAGCCCGCTGCGCCAAGATTTTACACGTAGACCCCCCTGCCGAGTCGGCGGCTTAGTCGGGGTGCTAATACCGCTCAAGGCGAGTGTTTGAAGGGCCCCAGGGGTTGCTAGGCCGTACAAGGTACCCACAGCCCCTACACGGTCCTCATTCCCCGTGTCTGACTCTGTGCCCAATGTTGGTCAGCCTTCTGGCTCCGGCGAGAGATCCAATCTTGAGTCCGTTCGAGCCCCCCCGAACCATGCGAGGGCGATCTAGAGTTCTGTGTCCAGTCCTGCAACGCCACGCCCTGAGGGTCCTGGAAAGAGTGGATCGCAAAGTCCAGGAACATGTTATTGCTGTCCATGAGCACGACTGGAAAGGCCTCTTCCCCCCTGCGGCGCAGGGACAAGGCGAAGGCATTTCAGAGGTGTCGCAACTCGGGTTCCACGAGTTACCGAACGATTTTGACGTTATTCTAAGCAAGACTATTGAGGGACTGGTGCATATTCCAGGCAGCTCGCAGTCTATCTTTGTGGCGTCCCTTTGCATGCGCCACTCGGAAGGGGCTCGCCACTATTCGGGGAGACGTAAGACCCGGGTACGGGGGACTCGGAAATCCCCGACGAGGTCGTCAAAAAAATGACGAGGCCGAGCCTGCATTTTGACGAGGCCTCCCGCTGCAGACATCCCACAAAACTCCTCCTCGTCAAAATCCGAGTCGCGGTCGTCAAAAAACGATGGCGAACCCGAGTCCTGGCAAACCCGGGTCTTACGCTCCCCCGAACTATGAAAGATGATTTCCTTTGTGCTGTTAGAAATTCGTCCACTTAGTAGTCGCTGGAGTGCTTGATCGCAGCGGACTTCAACATGAGCCCAGATGATATCATCGAAAATGATGTTCCACAGACGCTCTGGAGAGACTAGATCTTCCCAAGTACAAAAGCACATGCAGCGCCACTGGCGGGTTAGAACTGCTGGACTTCTTTGTGGTGCCATCTGGGATGTATAAGCAGTCAGCTGCGGGATGGAAACCATCGATCACCCTCAGCAGTTCGGGAGTTGTGGTGCCAGATCAACTGTCCTTGGTTGAAAGTCAAGCTCAGATTTGATCGAAGCTCTGGGAAACCCGTAGAGATTCTTTCCATAGAGACTGCGGGGATGCCGTAGAGCTAATGCCCTTGCTCCCTGTCGACTTCGTGCGAGCTGCCCCTAGGAACTATTCCACTAGGCCTGCGTTCGGGTCGGACGGATTACATATGCGACACTGTTCCTGAATGTGCGATGATTGTCTGCGGGTTGCGTGTCTCATCATAGCGTCTGTGGGAATGTTATCCGTCCTGCTGGCGCAGCTCCAGGTGGCGCAGCTGGCCTTGCTGATGAAACATCAAGGCGGCTGGAGGCCCATCGGACTGCTCTGCTCGCTGCATCGGCTGCAGGGTCGGTGCCGCACAGGTTGTGCCTTGCAGTGGGAATTCCACCGCACACGAACTTGCGAATGCCGGGCAGTCCTTCGCGTCGGCCAGCGATGTAGTAGGACGGAGTCCAGAGTAGCTAAAGAAGTAGCAACCGCACGATTGCTAGCCAAGTTCCACGAACGTATTATATGCCTGGCGCGCCTCGAATAACCATGCGACCTCTACCGCTTTCTGCGAGCCGTCTACCTACTGGCTCTGGCAGCCTACCGCTGCGCGAGATTCGTCAGTCTTGCCCCATATGTGGCGGGACCTCGCTATGCGGAGAAAGAGGTTATCGCAGGGTGCAGTTTCGCCTCACCTCTCGTTAAGGTGTATCTGATGAGTGCGTTCAGTAGTGCTCATTCTGACAGGGGGGTGCAATTCGATCAGTATATCGACGACAATGGCGTCTCAGCTTTCAGCACTCTCTCGCAGGTGATCAGCGGTTAAGTCTGGCAACCAGGAGCTTTTCAGCGCCATCGTTGGCCAGTGCGGCTGCCGTCTTCAGTAGTTAGTAGTTGTGTCTCAGAGCCCTAAGCGGGCCCAGTCACAGACAGTGCTGCGAATCTTGGGATCGATGCAGGGACGGCTGCTCGGATGGGCTCTAATTTTTGGGCCAGGGTTGAGCATCTGAATCAGACCACTCGTAAGGTGGTGAGGATGAAGCGCAGCTTGGGGAAATACTGTAAAAGGTTACGGGTCACTGGAGGGCTCCCTGGGGCGGAGATCCATGGGCTTTCTGACTTTGAGCTTCTCAATATCAAAAAGCAGACCGGCAACAAGATGCGCCGAGGTGTCCATGGCAGGTCCCTCACCTCCACTGCGATTCGTAACGACGACCCTGCTTGGTGCGGAGCGGTCGCTCCCATCATCAGGCACGCCAAAGAGGTGCGGGCTCTGTACACAAGCGCTTACCCGTACTCCTTGACCAGGGAGCAATTGCGTTCAGGCCGGGATCTGGCGGTTTCTTGCGATGCGCCAGAGTGGAGACAGGTCAGAGGGCCTCTCTCGGCCGTGCGTCCCTCTTTGGCCAGAGTCCGCTGGAGCGTGACAGACCTTGTCACGTGCGTGCATGGCGTCGGTGAGACATTTCAGCCCACGGCTATCACACCGGCTCTGCTCCAGAAGATGTGGGGCAGGCATCCATGAGAGCTTCGGAGAGGGAGTCGGCTTCGAAACATGGGGTGCAGTGTGAGAGACTCTGTTTCGACATCGTCAAGAATCGGCTCCGCTCATCTCGAGTTTCTGCCATAGGAGAAGGATCGATTCGTAGTTTGTCTTGCGAGGCCATCTGGACTCGGTCGAGGGCCACCAGGGCTCGGTACCAACAGGTCGAGGACGTTTGCCCATTGTGCGAATAATGTGGAGGCACAAGGTTTCCCCGACTGTGGAAATGCCAAGTCGCTGCACCGCTTAGGAACGAGTTAGTCAAGCCTGAAGTTATTGCAGAAGCCGCTGACGCGGATTTGTCCAACCCCGAGGTCCTCCTTCTTTGTGAACGTGTCCTTGTTCGGCGCTTCGACATTTGGAAGGAGGGGGGAAAGGGGTGAGGTCTGACTCCGATCTCTGCTTAAGGCGACTGTTTGCAACAGTGCGTCATATGGGGGAGACTCCACCTGCTTGAACCAGGCACCATAAGCAGCAAAGATCTACTCCATAGGGGGGGGAGGGTGCGAAAGCCCGCGCCGATCGGCAAAAAAATACGTAACAACTGATCATGCTTCACCCAGGGATTATCTTCCCCCACCCTGGGGATGTGTTTTTCCCCGTCCCGCTGATGAGGACGGAGGTTTCTAGGCGCAAATCTTTTGGGACGAGCCAGGGGCCCAAGACGCCGGCAAGTTTGCAAGCAATGTCCCTGTGGACGGCAGCTGCTTCAGACATGAGACTGCCGTGCGCTCCAGAGCAGGCTACGGACTCGCGCTCCTCAGATGCCAGGAGTCGGCCGCCTTTACGGACTGGTGCACCCCCCTTCATTCAGACGTCGCAAGTGGCGGAGTTTGCCGGTATTGCAGGAGGGCGCATGCATGCAGAAGGGAGCAGAAGTGTTGTATAGCGACTGCGCCTATATGGTCGAGCAGTGTACCAATAGCCCAGCGGTGCAGCTCAGCTATACCAGTCCGATTGCTGGGCTCGTGGTATTGTGTCGTACTTGGACCCGCATGAGGCGGGCACTGGCGCCTGTGAACGCTGGAGGGGCACAAGCAACGACGAGGCAGGTAAGGCGGCGAAGCTAGGGGCTGCTGCTCACCCCTCCGCTTCAGAGGCTGAGATTTGCACTCTTGGCCGCCGCTGCACTGGCCCAGGCTGGACCTGTCAGGCTGCCCGTGGGAAGCTCCATCGGCTAGCCCACCTTGCGCTGAGGCCCCTCCAGGACACCGTTGGGAATGGTGGTCGGGTGCATGGAGGTGTGCAAAGTGTCTTCGCGGCAAGCGCTCATTCGAGACGCCTCTACCTGGCCATTGTGCTGACACGTCCCGTCTGCACGCCTCAGAGCAAGATGCTCTGGGGCATCGCACTGTTGTGTTCGACTGCTCGGATGGATACGTGCTGTTCATATGCTGCAGATGTAAACGTCACCGCCTGGGCGCCTCCATTCAAAGGCTCGGCAACCGTTGTATCACCCCTCCTTCTCGCGCTGCGTACTACGGTTGGCTGGCTCGTGTAAGGGCCGCAACCCTCATTACCGCAAGCACAGGGTGGGGGTCACTGTTGACACGAACGACTGTATGCAGTGTTGCAGCACGTGATATTCACAACCTCGAGCTAGCTCCGTGGCCTAGCTAGGGGCTGGTCTTGCTCGATGGAATTAGAGTGGCGCCCCCGATGCAGAGCATGCAGCCTCTGCCAGCAGCCAGCCGAGGCCACTAACAGCCATGCAGTGGATGTCAAAACAACCTCCGTCCTCCTCACCCTCACCTCCCCATCACCACTCCTGCTCATGGTAGACTTGCTGTGACTTATCTTCTCCTCCCCTTCCCCCTCCGTTTCCACCTCATCGCCCTCTGCCTCCTTCTCCTCCTCCTCCTCCTCTGCCTCCTCCCCCTCTGCCTCCTCCTCCTCCTTCTCCTCCTCCTCCTCCTCCTCCTCCTCCTCCTCCTCCTCCCATCAACGCTCCTGATTATCATCCCTTCCTCATGCTGCTCTATTTTGTATAGTAGATTATACGTGAAGCATCTCCTGCCCCTTCCCCCTCCCCCTCCCCCTCCCCCTCCTCCTCCTCCTCCTCCTCCTCCTCCTCCTCTTCCTCCTCCTCCCCCGATGAGAATCATCATCATCAGCATCAGCATCAGCATCAGCATCAGCATCAGCATCAGCATCAGCATCATCATCATCATCATCATCATCATCATCATCATCATCATCAGCATCAGCATCATCGTCATCAACAAAATCATCGTCAGAAGCATCAAACGCATCATCATCATCATCAGCATCATCGTCGTCATCATCAGCATCATCAGCAGCAAGAGCATCATCAGCATCAACATCAGCACCATCACAACATCATCAACAGCAGCATCGTCAACATCATCATCAGCAAAGGCATCATCAGCAGCATCGTGATTGTCAGCATTATCAGCAGCATCATCATCAGCAGCATCAGCATCAGCATCAGCATCATCATCATCATCATGATCGTCCTCATCATCAGCAGCATCAGCATCAGCATCAGCGTCAGCATCAGCTTCATAACCATCACCAACACCACCACCAACATAATGATAAGCACCGCAATGTGCATCACGATCCAGACCTTCAACACCACAGCCATCGCCATCATAGTCACCACCATCAAAACCACAATCATCATCGTAATAATCGTCCTCATCCACCGCTCACTCTCCGTCCTTCCCCTCCACTTCCCTCTCCTCATCACTCCCCCCGCACCACTGGTGACGCCTTCTCTGTCCTCCCTCCTTCTCCCTCTCTCCTCCTCGCTCCCTCTCCATATCATTTCATCTCCCTCTCTCTCATGATCCGGCGTTCTGCGTGTGTCCCCGTCTCTCTCTCTCCTCTCCCAGTGTCCCCTCTATTCCCATGTTTCACTCTCTCTCTCTCTCTTTCTTTATCGCTCTCTCTCTCTCTGTCTCTGTCTCTCTCTCTCTCTCTGTTTATAGATATAGATATAGATAGATGCATGTGTATATATCGGAGGGCGGAGGGCAGTGCCATTGAGACAAACATACACGCGGTCCTCTGACCAACGATGTTTGTCTGGTCGTCTTGAGTGCGCCCAGAGGGGGGCGGAAGTTTCTCGGAGCCGCCCGTGGTGACCCCAAAAGGGCACCAAAAGTATAAAACTCTGCATTATCGAACGATCGACGACGACGTATCCTGGGGTGCGCTCTGGCCACAATTTCGAAAGGAGTCCGGCCGTGGCGACAAGGGTGGCCCAGGAGGCTTCCAAACGACCTGAAATTTTGGGCCTCGATCGACGGCACGATGGACGACGACGCGCCGACAACCACGACGACGCCACCCGGGAGTCGTTCTGGCCACAGGTTCGACGGGAATGCGGCCGCGGTGAGGAGCCCACCCTCTCCAGGAGGCCTCAACCAAACTACTCCAGATTTCGTAATAAAGGGAGGGGGGTCTCATTTCGGGGGGGGTCTCTTCCAGGCTATCTTGGAGGGCCTGGGGGGGTCTGGGGACGATGTTTTGGAGGGTTCTCCCACGGGGGAGGTCTGAAATGGCTTGTCTTGGAGGGTCCAGACCCCCTCCCTTTTATTACGAAATCTGGAGTACGCAGAGACCTCGAGCCTCGACTGGCCCAACGATCGACGACGACGCACCGACGACGTCCCCTCGGGCGCGTGCGCCGCCGCACCTCCGAGGGAATATCTGGCCGCGGCGACGGGGCGCCCCCGGTGCGCCCCCCCAAACAAAAAATCCCAGAGCCATCGGCCTCGATCCCCGAGCGACCAACACAACGGCGCAGACATTTCTGATTCGCGGGTCGACAGCGCTAGGAAGGCACCAACTATACACCAACACCGATCCTGGCACAGGATCACCCTGGGCCAGGATCGGTGTTGGTGTATAGTTGGTGCCCTCCGAAGCGCACCTCTTCCGGTCGAAGCTAAGCGGGCCGCGCGAAGCTTGAATTAGGCAGAGAAGGGGGGAGGACGCGGCGGGGCCTCAGAGCGAGGCCGAGAGGAGGCGTAGCCTCGGAAACAGGCGGTGCCGAAGCCGAAGTTCTTGCAAAGGGACGCCGGCCGCAACGGCGCAGACATGCCATGCCTTGACTTCTTCAGTACGCGGTCCCCGGAAATCCCCACCCTCTTTCGGCCCGGTATTCATCCTGGGCAGGTCCTGGCTGCCCCTAGGCCTGGCGAGGGCCCCCGTGGACCGAAAACTAAGAAAACCCTTCAGGCGCGACTTTAGCACGACGCAAGCATGGCTGGGGACGAGACTACAGGAAGGCAAACATGTTTTAGAATTACAACGTTCGGAGCTCCGCGCGGAGCTCCGAAAGTTGATCTTTATGAAATGTTGTATTGCTTAGTCGAGTCTTTCGTGCCTCGGGGCGGCGTTGCCAAGAGTCTTTCAGCCTGAAAGACTCGTCCCCAGAGATGCCCGTGCTCCCTTTCTCCCGCGGACTGTCTTTGCGCCCGTGTCCTTGTCTTTCTCCCTCGCCTCATTCCCGCCCGCGCCACTTTCCCTCGATTCATGAATTCGGACTAGAAGAAATGATCCTTAGAACTTGCAGACCCCTCGAGGCAAAGTCACTACCTAGCTTATGTTTATTATGTTTGTTCTCCCTCTGTAGTCGTCGTTCATCATTGCCGTCGTCCTGTTGGTCGCCGTCGTCGTCTCGCTCGGCATCGTTCGTCGTCAATGTCGTCGCGTCGTCGTCGACATCGAGAACAGAGGTCTCCCAAATGGCGTCCGAGTTAGATGGGGTCGAAGAGCAAGCCACATCGGCGATGCATCGCCGATGCATCGACGACGTCGGCGATACGTCGGCGACGCTGACGCGGAGGAAGTCGGGCTCCAAATCGAAATGCATCTCCGATGCATCGGCGATACGGCGCGATCCTCCCACCCGAACTGCTCGAACCCCATCTGTCGGGGGCGTCCATGAGGGGGGCGTCCAAGAGGGGGGGTGCGCAAATCATGGCCGGCGGCACGTTCGCGGCCCAGGGGGGTCCCAGGGACGCATTAGAATTAGCGGAGGCGCCATGAAATCTGGGGAGATATCATGGCCCCCGCCATAAGATCCACCTCCTCCCTAGTCATCACCAGCCTCTCTGCCGCCCCCGACATATGGGAGGCAAAGTCTTTCGGACACCCGGGGCGACGTTGCTCACTTGGTTCACCCAGCTCGTGACTTCGACGCCGTCGAGGCCGACGCCCAAGGACACCTTCTCGCTGGACAGCAGCACCGCGGTGTCGCACCTCAGCGGAGGGCCCGCCGGCCGAGGGGAAGAGGACGAGGACGAACGACACGACGACGACGACGAACGACGCGACGTCAATGACGAACGACGAGTTGCCATAGCTCGGACGTTCATTCCAAGTGCATTGCTTGGTTTCGTGCACGATTTTTCTGGATTGCCCAAGGTGGTCCAAGATGGTCCAGATTTTCACGCGCTGGCCGAGCCGAGAAAGATGCACAAGTCCGAGCGATGCTGAGACGACTATAGATGAAGAGCAAGCTGAATTGACATGAACTTTCGGAGCTCCGCCCCGAGCTCCGAAAGCTCATGTTTATGCAGCTATTCTTCTTCGAGACTCGCGACGGCAAGGGCCGCTACTGGCCCTGGCCCCCCCCCCCTGCCCCCCTTCGGTAACGTCAGGATTCGTGTTGGCGCCGTCTGGGGATGCCTGGGAGTAGCCAAGAAAGCTCGACTCGCAGATACCTATGTGAATCTGCTATGGCAGAGCGTGCGCCATGCTATGGATATGTAAGGACCTGCGATGGATAGCCCTAGATAGCAAATCGCAGTGTGAGGGAGGGCTGGGAATAGTAGGTGGTTCCTTTCTGGCTCTATCCACTCCCTTCCCTTCCCTCCTTTGCCTCTTCCTCCGCCTCTCCTTCCTTCTCCCCTCGTAGCCCTCGTCCTCCTCATTGCATGGCAACGTGTTTCACACAAGGTCCTGAGAATGAAAGAAGGAAGGAATCGACAGGAGGGAGGGGGCGAGGCAGGTGGGGCCAGGCCCGCTGCTCTCGGGAGGGGGGCGGCGGGCGGCAACTGCACCCCGCGCCAGGGGGCGGGACCTCTCCCCTGAGATCCCGGCGTCTGTATTTTTCCGATCCAGGCGCCGGTTTGCACCGGCGTCGGGCCCAGGGTGAAGGGGAACTGGAACACACAAATAAGTACACACAAATAAAAATATCCCCCATATTTTCCCATATTTTCTGGGTTTTTGTCTTCCCCACCACTTCCCATATTTTTGCATATTTTCCTGGGAGGCGACGATTAATTGTGTCTGTGTGTTTCTTTCCCTCCTGACAGGGATGGCTCCGAAAAATGGCACGGAAGGCTGGGGCCTCGAGTTCTGGTCGTAACGGATTGCGATGTTGTCGTTTTGTCGCGATCGCTCGGATGGTTCTGTCGGAGCTCAGGGTCGGCCGTTCGTCGGGGGCTGCTACAATCGCCCCTGGCCCAAGGTGCCGCCGGCTTTTCCCTCCAGCTCGGAGCCCCTGGGCCTCCTGGGCCTTCAGAGAGGTCGGCGGCGCGTACAAAGGGGGTACAGGGAGGGGGGGAAGCTTCTTCGAAGGAGGCCGTTTCTTAGATGGCGCCGGCCCTGCATCCATAGACAAGGCCCGCGCCTTCTAAGAAGCAGGGGTGCTTCTGAGAAGCCTTCCCCCTTCCCCTGCCCCCCCTTGCGCGTGGCCGAAGGGGTGCTCTGGAGGCCGTGGGGGCGGGCATCCATGGAAATCCTGGCGGCACCTTGGGCCAGGGGCACTCCTGGCAACACCCGAGCTCTCGGGTGCGCGGGAGCGCTCGCCGTCGCTCGGACGCCCATTCCCCGCGCACTTTCCCGCAAGATGCACGACGAGGATGTACGGGCCTTGGAAAGCTATGCTGGCTCTTTGCGAGCGGGGCGCGCCAGCGGAGGCGACCAAGGATGGGGGCGAAGGGGCAGGATGCAAGGGCAACCTTGGACAGGCATGACGTATTACTGTGTGCGGGTTGAATGCATTTTTTCGCAATGTGGCCCAAAAGGCTCCTCGATGGTCCTCGCCGAGACAAGAGGCACACAGCCGAGCGAAGCCAGGACGAGGACGCTCTTCGGGTGAGGATAGATCGGGAATCTCTGAGATCCGGCGGCTATGGAGGATGTCTTGGGCGCCGCGGCCTTCCAAGAGCCTCCCAGAACGCCCTGAGAGCTTTCCGAACGCTCTGGAACGGATTGATCCTCGTCCTGGCCCCGCCCGAACACGTCCGAACGATGCCAAAGTCGAGGGCCCCATGTTTTGGACGGCCGAAGTGGTACGGAAAAAAATGGGCACGGTGCCCAACAACAACTGTTGCCATAAACCATCAGCGGCCGCTGTCGGGCAGGCGGCCTTCTGGCTCCAATGGACAGTCCGCGGCGACGCTGACAACAAACCCTGTTCAGAATGAACGGGAACTGCTGTCGGCATTTGCGCCCGCTCTTTTTCCGCGTTCATGTCGATCGCCCCGAAGAGTCGCCCACCCCCCCCGGAGGGGGATCTTCTGACCCGGGACCCAGGTCAATCCAGACCCAGCTCCGTCAGGCCTTGCAGGGTCCTGCAGGGTCCTGCACCCAAGCCTGGGTCAATGCGACCCTGGCCCTGCAAGATCCTGCAAGATCCTGCAGGGTCCTGCACCCAGACCCGGTCCAATGCGACCCTGGCTCTGCAGGATCCTGCAGGATCTGGCGCCCTGGCAGACCCCCGTCTACATGGACCCCCGTCTCCAGCGCCTCGGCGAATCCTTGCACCACGCACCCATCCCAGGACACCTCGCTCGCGCTGCACAGGCGCACCCATGAAGCGCCCAAAGCGTCAGACGCCAAGAAGACGCGAAAGACAAATGCCCTGCAACTTGGGCGCCCGAGTTATCCGGGGTAATTCGGGTCCGGTGTAACTCGGGCTTGGCTCCCTGAAAAAGGAACCCGAGTTAGCCCTGACCCGAGTTACCCCTGATGATTCGATTCGGGGCTCTGGACGCCCGAATTATCCGGGGCAACTCGGGTCTGGGGTAACTCGGGTTCGGATTCCCGAAAAACGAACCCGAGTTAACCCTGACCCGAGTTACCCCGGATGCTTCGGGGCTCTGAGCAACGCAGCGCCGCCGGCCCCGGCGATGTGGGGCGCCCCTCGGCCGGCCTCGGGCGCGAGGCCGCAGGCCGCGGGCCCGGGGCCCGCACGGGCCCCCGGGGGGGGGGGCCCCTCGGGGGAGCGCCGACGGCCAGGAGGGGAGCCGAGCGCGAGCCTGCCGGTCCCGATCGGAGCCCTGCGCGGCCGAGCCCCTCCAGACGGGGGGGCAGGGCGGCGGGCGACGACGAGCGAAGCGAAAGAAGCGAGGGCTGAGGCAGGCTGAGGCCGAGGCAGGCTGGAGCCGAGGCAAGCTGAGGCTGAGGCTGAGGCACGCGGAGGCAGGCTGAGGCTGAGGCTGAGGCAGGCTGGGGCTGAGGCAGGCTGAGGCTGAGGCTGACGCAGGCTGAGGCCGAGGCAGGCTGAAGTTGAGGCTGAGGCAGGCTGAGGCTGAGCAGGTGAACCTACGCCCGCCCGCTAGGCTGTGGCCCCGAGCGGAGTCGGAGGGGGAAGCGCCTCCCCACGGAGGGTTTGGTGCAGGGCTGGACCGAAACGCTGTTTTCCGTATCGTTTTCGTTTTGTGCTTCGTCTGGCTCGACCTGTCTTCCTGTACCTCCCTGCCAAAACAAAAAGCAAGACACAGCCGAAGTCCAGCAACACAGCGTTTAGGTCAAGCCCTGATTTGGTGGATGGGTCCTTCCCCTCCTCCAGTTGCTTCAAGGTCTGCGCGGCGGGCCTGTTTCGGGGATGGACAGACCCCCCTTTAGTAAAACGTGGTTTAGTGAAAACGACCTGAGGCCCAAACCTGGCGGGCGCAAGCCTGGCAAATAACGGCCACGGTGCCCTCTCGAGAACCGAAAACGGACAATTCACTTATCGACGTGTCACTGTTGGGGGTTCTGTCCACCCCCGACTGTTGGGGGGGCCCGGAGCCGAGCACGGGCCGGAGCCACCCGTCGTGCTCCTCCCCTGCTGGAGGCCACCGACGTCCGCCGCGGCGGCCCCGACCGCGGGGAGATCCTTGCGTTCGGTCGGGCATGTCCTTCTACAGGCGGATTTTGGAGGGAAAAGAAGAAATAGGCAACCAGAAATCAAACATATTCAAGAACAGTATTGAAAGGCATCGTCCCCACACTGCTTCTGCTGTGTGTGTGGGTGGCTATATTCTTGAACACTCCTCCTGTAGAGGGGGCGTGCCCGACTTCCTCCTTGCGGGCCTTCGCGGCCGGCACGGCTCCCGAGGGCGAGGGCCGCCCCCGCGGGTAGGCCTACGAGATCTATACATATCCACTGCTCCTGGCCAGGCCCATCCTGGGCCCGGGAGCGGTGCATACGCCCTCGTGGCCTAGCCAGGGGGACATATACACCGCTCCTGGACCCAGGATGGGCTTGGCCAGGAGCAGTGGATATGTATAGATCTCGTCGCCCTAGCGGGCCCGGCCGCTCCCGCGCCCGAGCGCGCGCGCGCCGTCGGCAGACGCAGACCCGGACCTGCTCGCGCCGCGAGGCGACCTCGGCGCCGCAGCGGCGCTCCTCGACGGGGGGGCAACCACCTCGCCCGACGACGGGCCCCGAGCCCCGCGGCGGGGGGCCGCGCGCCGAGCACCGCGCACGAAGATGCCGCGGTGGTTGCTGAGCTGGTTCTGGAGGGGCGGGGGGAGGGGGGAGGGGCAAGGGGAGGGGGAGGGGAGGAGGAGGAGGGGGGAGGAGGAGGAGTGGGGAGGAGGAGGGAAGGAGGAGGAGGAGGAGGAGGGATGAGGAGGAGGTGGAAGGAGGAGAGGAGGAGGAGGAGGGAGGAGGAGGAGGAGAGGAGGAGGAGGAGGAGGAAGGAGGGAGGAGAGCAGGAGCAGGAGGGGGGGGGGCCCGCGCCCGCCGCTCGGACGGGTGCCGCGGAAGGGGGGAGGCACTTCGCCCGAAGACGAAGCCAGGACGAGGCGACTTTGTCGGGTGGTGATACATCGAGAATCTCAGAGGTCCAGCGGCTCGGGCGCCGGGGCCTTCTCGGAGCGTCCCGGAACGCCCCGGAACGCCCCGAGAGCGCTCCGGCACGCCCTGGAACGGATTCCCTGACCTTCCAGAGAGCTATTTTTTAGCACGGGAGGCCCAAAAGCCTAAACAAAAACTGAACGAAACAGCCCAAAACCAAGACGTAGAATAGCTCTGGGATAGGTTTTTAAGTCGCGTGCTGTTTTTTTAGCCCTCCTGGAAAGTCAGGGGAAGGGGGGAGGCACTTTGCCCGAAGACGAAGCCAGGACGAGGCGATTCTGCCGGGTGGTGCTACCTCGAGAACCTCGGAGGTCCAGCGGCTCTGGAGGACGCCTCGGGCGCCCGGGCCTCCTCGGAGCGCCTCGGAACGCCCCGAGAGCGCTCCGGAGCACGCTCTGGAACGGGTTTTTCCTCGTCCTGGCCCGGCCTGAGAGCCCTGAGAGCCCTGGCGCCGCAAATGTTCGCGCGAGCCGAACGTCTGCGCCCAGTTTCGGACCGCGCGACCCTCACAGGTCGATCCAGCTCGAAGACTGGCGCAGAAAAATGGGGGTCTGGGGCTCCGGTGGTGATCTGTCGCGTACAAGGCAGTTTTGTATGAATACAGCTATGCATGAACTCATCGTTGTTTTTAATGCTACGTCCCTGCATTTTAATAGATGATCCGCACGCGGGGAATGTATCAAAAAACGGCACTGTAATCGCTTCCTCGGATCTCAGGGGCTACCGGCGGGGGAAAGGAAGTGTGCACCGCTCGGGCACCTTCGGGGCTCCAAGTGGCCCCGTCAGGGCCCCATTCCTGCAGCCCTCCCCGCCCCCACGTATCGCCCCCCCCCCCCCCCGCCCCGAGGCGTTGCGACAAGAGCGCTGGTCAAGAGTCAAGAGCACGGGCTCCTCGCCAAAGGCCCGAGGCCCCGTGGACGTAGTCGCCCGAAGCGCGCAGCCTTCGGCCCGTGTCTGCTTAAATTCGCGCTCACGTCCGCGACCGGCGCCGCCAGACCCCCCGCTCTCCCCCCCCCTCCCCTCCCTCCTTGGCTTATGTTGCCCCCGTCCTACTTAAGGACCGCATCCCAGAAATAATTTCGAGCACCCAGAAAAGTGTCAAAAGAGTGTCGAAACAATGTCGAAACAGTGTCTCCCAGGGCCTGGCTCCTCCTCCTCCTCCTCCTCCTCCTCCTCCTCTTCCTCCTCCTACTCCTCCTCCTCCTCCTCTCTCCTCCTCC